TTTTATAGGTATTCAAGCATTGAAATTATATTATTTTCTTGTGTGAATTTTTTGTGAATGTGCACTGTACCTTATGGATCATTTCTTGTCAAGTTCAGAACATTATTGGATCAATAGTACAATAATTTATCAAAGCAAGCAAAACATTTTAAAGTATATACAGTTTAATCTGACCCAAATATATACTGCAATCCTCTACTACCATGTAAGCCATGCATATTCATAGGTTAGATGTCAGCAGTATGAAATTCTCATTTTCTGTGTTAGAATATATATTGATAAGTGTAACCTCGAAATACATCTTTCCTTATTTAAATAAATTCAATTCCATTATTTTCCAGAGCCAGGAACCCCCTCCAGGAGATACATCAAAGATGTCTACTCATGGACCAGTGTGGAGACAAACATAAAGTTGTCAATTAGTAGTTAAACGGCAAAATCAAGAATTGGTGACAAACCAAGTGCCTATTTTTATAAGTACCAACATATGTTAAATGGGGGTAGTCATGAATGATAGTAATTTTACACAGGGGAATTCTACAATTTACTGACTATATCTGGTAAAATGAAAATACTTCAAACATAGTTAAGTAAAAGTCTTAAGTATAATATATATATGTATATATCTATATAGAGAGATATAGATATAACATATATGTGCACATTAAAAATATACAATGTATTTACTTTATAATGTCCTTTTTAAGGACACATACAAACTTTTATAGAAGAGACATTTATGTGGAGAAGGAGAAATGAACTGGGGATAAGATAAGGATTGATGATTATAGACCTGAAATTAAGGTTTCATTAACTTTTAGCTATTTAAGATTAAAAATAACGGGAACCCATATATTATAATTTGAGTACTTCCTGTATCCTCAAAAATCACTATAGGACATGTTTTAAAAGTTTCATCATTGTCCATAACCATAAAACTTGATGTAAGGAAGCCATGTGGGAAAGGTTGAATGTTGGGTGATTACGATGAATAAACCATGCATCCAATGAATAATATACTTAAATCGTGATATTTGAATTGGGATAGTTAAAATTAGTAACAAGGGAAGGTTGTTGAATTGTGTATTAAAGAATTCCTCAGTAGGGAAATGAAAGATTCCCTGAATAATTCACAAATTCCCAGTGACATAATTGCCTCTTCTCAGATGTTTTGGGAATAACCAAAAAGTGGATTTAAGCTTCCACAAGTATGTTCCCAGATGAAAGCATCATAAATTCTTCTGATTGCAATAAGGTTAATAACATGCAGGAGAGCAAGAATTAAGTTCTCATTTTAGGTGAGTAATGGGAACTAGTCATCACACTTATCAAATTAGTTCCTTGGATTAACATTGATGCTTCTTGTCAATTTAAACTATAGACATGATTATATTCACCAAAGATAGATCTAGCATACTATATCCTACTCATCATGTCACTGTATGACTATACTTTCTGAAAGTATAATGTGTTTTAACACTATTATTATGTTCTTTTACTGTAGTAAATACCTTGTTTCCATTTGTTATTATTTCTGCACTATACTGGAATTCTAAAGAGTGAACATTCTGAGAAGTAAAGGGCAGAACTGGTTCTTCCTGGAAGCGAGGGGTTGGGGCGTAGCAATGACCCAAACAATGTATGCACATATGAATAAATGAATAAAGAAATAAATTTAAAAATAAAAAATAAAAGAACAAAGGTGAAATGTTACATAAATATTTGGCTGCTCATGCCATATTGCCTTTAGTTTTTTCCACCCTTTGATGTTACTGGGGTTTGAACTTAGTGGAGAAGTCTTCATGCAACTCAAAAAATAAACTAAGTAAATATTTTTAAATGGTCTACAATGAATGCTGTCTAAGCATAGATGTTGCTGTACAAGTGTGGGGTATTGATGCTGAGTATAAGTGCTTCCAATACAAATGTCTTTCCCACAGGGCTTCCATCAATTCAGTAAAGTAATATAATTTCTCTCATTTCATTCATCCAATAGAGATTCATTGCTGTAGCTGTTTTTGGTCTCCTTTTCTGAAAAAATGTAAGATTAGACTTATGACAGAATAAATTTCTCCAAGAGGAGCCAGGGAGAAAACTACTTCAGAATATGCTGTTTATATAATAGGTGATTCCAGGAAAGCTTAAATAAAGGGGATTGAGTATAGGAAACAAAACAAAAAACAAAAACAAAGCCAAACAAAATGTGCAACAAAGAACATGTTACTGCCTTAAACAACTGGCTTTCACTCACTCGGAAGGCTTTGGGATGTCCTGCAGAACTCTTCTAGGAGTACAGGAAGAGCAGGTTTTCTCTCCCTTGCTGATTACTGTTCATTGACATGTTAAATCCAAACTTCCAAATATCAGCAACAATCTACCATGACTTCAGATCAAGTGAGGAGAGGCCTGAAGTGATAAGAAATGTGAAACTGAGACATATGATTCAGTACAGTGATATTTGTGATTCTAACAGATGGCACAAGTCAAATAAAACAGGGAACATTTTGACTTAGGTGAATATACACCATGATAATGGGATGACTATAACTCTGCTATCTTTATATTAAATTTGTAGTGTTTTCATTTAGAAGTTGAGGTTTAAGAGACTTGGAAGTATCTCATAAAACATATTTAATGGAGTAACAAAGAATTAAAGGAAATTTAAGAAGTCAGGGAGGGTCATTCCTGGAAGACTCACAGATCAAATATATGTTCCTAGATTGGGGTTCTGATGAACATGCCAGACTTTAAGCCCTTTATAGATACAGTCTTGTTTACATGATTTACTCCTATGAGGTATCTGAACACATTAAGAATTTTCATCTGATATTTTCTTCATTAAGGAAGTTAAGAGCCTGGTGTCAGAAACTGTGTTAAAAATCTAACATTTTAAAATAATGCTTCTCAAACTATTACCAGACAATTAATTGCAGGGGTTTACGAATTCTGTGCCAGAACCAAGAGCAGAGGTGAAATGTTTGCTGTTATGTGACAAAACCATTGCACACCTCCTGGACTTAGGCTTGGATATTCTCTTTCCTCTCTCAAAATATGCCCAAATTCATTAAGAAAATATTTATCCTGATATGTTCTAGACTTTATAAATTATATACTTTACACATGAATATATAGAATTACCTTTGATGGATGGAAATAAGAGAATGGGAGACCTGCCTATAGTCTCACAGGTATCTCTTACATGGCACAGGTTCACATATATCTAGCCTAAAATTTTGCCCAGTATTTGAAAATCTTAAATAATGGGATTTAAGTACAATGAATGAATGTAACTATAAAAAGACTAAAACATTTAAGGGGTAATAGTATATACTTTAAGAAAAATAGTTGTCCACACACTAGGAAAATAATACCAAACTATATATTTATTTATTTATTTATGGAATTGAGTTTGAACTTAGAGACCTGATCTTGCAAGGGAAGCACTCTAACACTTGAGCCATACCTCCAAACATGGTTTTGATATATTTCAAACTCTTGATGAAAGATGAAATAAAGGTATAAAGGTTATACTCAAAATTAAAATATAGAAAATATACTTCATTCCTATTTAGAGTTATGGCCTTTTCTGAATGAAACAATCATTTGTGTTCTCTATGTACATTTAAATAAGTAAATTTTGCGTATGTAAGATTAATCTTATATATCTACTTCCCCTTTCTCTTTTTTACTTTCTGCATCTTTCCTTCATATGACACATAATTTGGTATTGTTTGCCCACCCTGAAGCATTAAAGATAGCACTCCCTTCTTTGGGTGATATTTCTAATTGTGCAATATTTTATGTGGTGAATTAACAAACACATTTAAATATTTTTGCATATCTTAAATGTGTTAGAAATATATCTTTATTAAATATCATTACAATATTATTACTATGTTAAAACCAAGTGTGAGACTGTCTGTTCATTCTCAGATTGAATAAATTATAGATGCTGAACTTCGTTAATATTAAATATGCAAAAAATCAGACAGGTAGCACTCAGAAGTTTGTGGTACAATGCTAAAGAGGAAATGAATATGTTGTAAATGTTGTTGTTTAAAATGGTAATGTTGGGGCCTCTACATGTTGTTCTTACAACATCCCATTAAATGCATAAAATATCATAGTGGAGTGATAATATATGTTAAAAATGAAGCACATAAGAAAATGAGAATATCATTTAATATACTGAATTACAGTGAAGAGAAAGTAAGTAAAACTCTTCAGTGAGTTAGCAATGGCTCTGGTACTGAAGTTGCAGAACTGAAAGGCAGAAGTCTAATACTATAATACTTATCCTATTATACAGCATAACACTGTAGTAATACTATAATCTCTTTTAAGAGTGATACACTTTGACAAATTCTATGTAGTTTTAATGGAAATCATGTAAAAAAATCAAGATTCTTAGTTTAGGTCAGTATTTTTCCTAATGATGTACTAGTGAAAGAGTCACAGAGGAATTACATATATTTTGTATTAACTATTGACATATGAAACAAAAATGAAATGCCACTGTGTACTACATGTTGTAATGGTTCTAAATTTGGTTTTAGGTTCTGCAATAGAAAAGAATCATTTAAATCACTTCAAGCCATTACATTTTAAGTATATATAATATATAAGCATATATAATATATTCATAGTAATAACATATATGATAAACACTAGCATATATCATCTACAATATATGTATGTGTGTGCATATGAAAATAGCAGAATGAAGCCAAAAAAAAGCTAAAACAGGACAGGGGTCCAAGGAGGGTACTTGAGAAAGAGTAGAATAGACGGGTTGAATTTGGTCAAAGTACAATATGTGCATGTGATAAGAATCACAGTGAAATCCCTTTGTATGATTAGTTTATGGTATAATGTTGTGCAAAAATCCAAGCCTATCAAATCACTAATAGTTTGGATACTGACATTTCAACAGGTGAAACCTCCTGAAACCCCATGTCTTTTGATAATTCTTTTTACAATAAGTTTCCTGAAAGGCCTGGATGGAGAAACGGAACCATACAGTGCTAAGCGAATTCATTCTGATGGGCATCACAGACCACCCTGATCTACAGGCTCCCTTCTTTGGTCTGTTCTTTATCATCTATGTAACCTCAGTGATGGGAAATTTGGGCATGATCACTCTCACCAAGATGGACAGCAGGCTACAGACCCCAATGTACTTTTTTCTCAGACACCTGGCTTTCATTGATCTTGGTTATTCAACAGCTGTGGGACCTAAAATGTTAGTAAATTTTGTAGTGAATCAAAATTCAATCCCTTACAACTGGTGTGCCACACAGCTAGCTTTCTTCATCTTCTTCATCATTAGTGAACTTTTTGTTCTGTCAGCAATGGCCTGTGACCGATATGTGGCTATCTGCAACCCTCTGCTCTACACACTTGTCATGTCACAAAAAGTGTGCTGGGTACTCGTGGCAATACCCTATGTCTACAGTGCCTCTCTCTCTCTGATAACCACCATAAAAATTTTTATTTCATCCTTCTGTGGCTACAATGTCATTAGTCATTTCTACTGTGACAGTCTCCCCTTGTTGACTTTGATTTGCTCAAGTACACATGAAGTTGAATTGATAGTCTTGATCTTTTCAGCATTCAATTTGGTTTCATCTCTTCTAATCATCCTTGTGTCCTATATTCTGATCCTTGTGGCCATCCTCAGGATGAACTCTGCAGAGGGCAGGCATAAGGCTTTCTCTACTTGTGGGTCTCACCTGACAGTGGTGGTTTTATTATATGGGACTCTATTCTTCATGTATGTGCAACCCAAGTCCAGTCACTCCTTTGACACTGATAAAATGGCCTCTGTGTTTTACACCCTGGTCATCCCCATGTTGAATCCCATGATATACAGCTTGAGGAACAAAGATGTAAAATGTGCTCTACACCGGATGTGGAAAAATCTCTGCAAATTTTCTACTTAAAGTTCAATATAGTTTATATCTATATCAAATCGAATTCTAGATAACTGTTTGTTATATATGCTTAGCCTTTAAAAAACACTCCTTTTAAAGACATGGAAATGCAAATGTGAACTCTTCATTTTCAACATACAGGTATTCAAGAGCTGATTTTCCTTTGGGTATTCACTTTTATTTGTCCTCAATTTGGTGCCTGAAGCTTGTGTCATTGCTGTCACATTGCCAAAAGCTTATGTTAGAATTGAAAAGATGCCTTCATAGATGCTTCTCTCATCACAATTTCTTGGGTAAAGGCATCCTGTGTCTTAAAAATAAATTTTTACTTTGGGTTTCACATACTGTTTAATTCCAAGTGCACATCATACTGGTATACTTACACTTAGAAGATATAAGTTCCTACTTTATGTTCTACACACACACACTATAGATATACTATAAAAAAAACTGTTACGGAGGTTCCTCAGAAAAACTAAAAATAAAATTACCATATGATCCTACTGTAATTACTCTTGGGTATATATCCAAAGGAACCAAAGGCAGCATACAATAGAGATATAGAGATCTCTGTACAACTAAATATATTGTGATAATATTCAAAATAGCCAAGTCATGGAATCAGTGTAAGTGCCCAAAAGCGGTTGAATGGATCAAGAAAGTGATATATATATATATATATATATATATATATATATATATATATTTTAGTTAGTCTAAAGAAAGAACTGGTGTTGTTCACAGGGAAATGGATCAAACTGGAGATAATCATGTTAAAATAAAATCAGAAAGATATACATTGTACATTTTCTCTTACATGTGGAATTTAAAGGAAACAAATACATCAAAGTAGAAGAGGGGCTATTAGGGACAGAAAGGGGACGAGTAGTAGGGGATATGTGCTGTAAATATTATTAAAGTATCTGACATACATGCTGAAAGTGTCACAATGAAACCTATTATTTTCTATAATTTTATATGCTAACAAAATAGCATACAATAACATTTTATCTATAAAATTGTGAGTGTCATCTCAGAGTTCTATGAAAATACAATATTTACCTACTGATAGTATAAATATATATGTTAGTTTGAGGAAACAGAAATCAAAATATAAGCAGTGATTTTCATAAGACATAATTTATACATAAAAATCTCAAAGAATCTACATGTTAGACCTTTAAAGATAAGTAAAAATTGCAAAGTTGTTGACATAAGGTCATCACTTAAAGATCGGTTATATTGCTTCATAGAGAACAAATAAGTGAAAATTAAATTTAAAATACCAGATGTACTACCAATAAATACTAAAATGTTTAGGAAAATCTAATAGACAATTTTGGAGACATCAATGTTGTAAAGTTTTAAAATATTACTAATTGATGAAAGAAAACATTGGCATAGCAATATACCATGTCCGTAAGTTGAAAGAAATAAATGGTGTGAAGTTGAAGTTCTCCATAAATATTTCTACAGATTTAATACAGTAACAACAATTCTAACAGAACTTTTAAAATATTCAAATGGATACCAAGATTTATGTTGAAACTCTAGAAGTATCTAGAAGTGTCACAGCAATATCTTAGAATTTGGAGGCCTTCCATAGCAGATAAGAATACTTCACATAATACTGAATTATTTGAAAATTCATGACATCAGTGCACATGATAGACATGAACAATAAAATGAATTAAAATAACGTACATAGTCAAACAACCATTGGTAATTTTAAACAAAATCTACAGCAGAATTTCATAAAGAAAGGATAGCATTTTGGCATATTGAAATAGGTTAGTTTTCCTATGTAAAACAATGAGAGTGAGTCATTTACTTTACTATATACAAAGTAAATTAATGACAAGTATTGAGTTAATGCATTTTATACACTTTTATTAGACACCTCACAATGTATACATGCATCAAAACCATGTAGAATAGCCATAATCAAGGGTAATAACAACAACAAATGCTGGCAAAGATGTGGTGAAACAAGAATCCTTATACACTGTTGATGGGAATGCAAATTAATAAAACCACTATGGAAAGCAGTATAGAGATTTCTCAAAAAACTACAGATAGAACACCCATATGATCCCGTAATATCACTCCTGGACATCCACCCAAATGAATGCAACCCAAGATACAGTAGAGACACCTGTACATCAATGTTCATCACAGCACTATTCATAATAGCTAAGCTCTGGAAACAACCCAGATGCCCTACAACTGATAAATGGATCAAGAAATTGTGGTACACATACACAATGGAATATTACTTAGCCACAAAGAATAATGACATCGGGTTTGATGGTAAATGGATGCAAACGGTGGGCATGATGTTAAGTGAAGTTAGCCAAGAGCAGAAGCACAAAAGCTGCGTGTTTTCTCTCACGCATGGAAGATAGATTCAAAGATAAACATAGACACAAGAACAAGCATGATCGTATACAAACTCAGTTATAGAAAATGCTTATAGCAGTGGAACTGCTCTATGGAACTTTGGAAAGAGAGAAAGGAAAAGAGAATGATAGAGCAATAGTAATATCACATACAACAAAATGTGAAAGTAGAGGCTATAAGGATGTGTATTGAAAGATTTTGAAAAGCGGGGGTTGGGAGGTGAAGAACAAAGAGTATTCACAGGGAGTAAACAGATCAAAGTAAAGCACACCCACAGTGGACATACATTGAGACAACCCTTTGAATGTCAACTCAAATATTAATTATGGAAATCAGAACTGTAAAATAGGCAGAGTGTGTGCGGGAAAGGGGGTATTAGTGGGGGCGGGGGGTAAAGGAAGGAGATTTAGGTGATGGTATATGTTTGATGACTTTCATATAGCTATATGAAACAGAACATGAAAACCTCTTGCAATTGCTTTAAGTGGAGTGGGGAGGGGGTTGGGGGTGAGAAATGATGGGGACAATATAAATAATGTGCAATGTAAGTCTAATTGAAATTGTCACTATGAAACTCCCCACATCGTGAATATATCCTAACAAAATATTTAAAAAGAAAAAACTTAATGTATAGAATAAATATATAAAATGGACTAGTCAACTAAACATATAAAAATTCAAAAGTTAATTAAGAAATGTTATCAATCTAAATATAAAAGCTAGAACCAGAACATTTCTGAAAAAAATGGTTAAATAATAACTTCATTAATTATGGTAAGGAAAGATATCTTAAACATGGTACATAGTAATAACAGAAATAACACTCTATTTAAAACAGACAAATAAATAACCCCATCTATGTATCAAAGTACACCAGAGGAGAAAGAAAAGGCAATCCTGAGAGAGCACATTCTTAACACATACAACAAACAGTATGCTGATGTCAGTACTTTGAAAAAGAAAACACAAACAACCACAAAACAACAATCACAAAGTCTGAATCTTAAAATTAGTACAATATAGACAGTTAATCTACATGGAAAAGAGGAAAAAGTAATAAAGGAAGAAGTAATAAAGGAAGGCAGCTAAACAGTTCCAAATACCTAAATATATTTAAAAATTATTAATTACAAATACTGTGATATCATTTAATATCCATCAAAATTGCCAAAATTCAAAGATTTGGTGTTGGGTAAAGGAAGAAATAAAACATATCTTCTTAGGAAGTGATATGATGATGTATGTAGAAAATCTAGCATAACTGCCAAGGAAAAAATCTTTTGGAACTAAATAAAGTATAGTGAGTTTGTTGGATACAAGGTTAATATGCAGAAATCAATAGTTTTCCAATCAGTCAATAATGAACTGAATATTAAAAGCACAATATCATTCATATTAGCTTTTTGTAGGAATGAAATATTTTATTGGTATTTTTTCTCCCTATATAGAGAAGATATTTATGAGAAATCTTGAAAATTCTGATGATAAAATATAAAGAGAGGGTTACTTATGGATAGTGACTCACTTTTATAATGCCTGGGCATAAAATGAGACAAATATCTCAAAATGAGCTAATGCAAAAAGGGTTGGTGGAGTGACTCAAGTGGTAGAGGGCCTGCCTAGCAAGTATAAGGCCCTGAGTTCAACCCCAGTCATCAAATATTAGTAAAATATATACAACACAGATTTCAGCACTTTAACCACTTAAAGATTTTTTTAAGAAAAATTTTTATTATATATATATATATAATATTCTTTGTACAGGAGGGATTCATTGTGACAATTCCAAATAGGCTTATATTGTACACTTATATTTAATGACATAAAGATTTATAATTCAGTACCTAAATACTGTACAACCCTCACCCATATAAACTTCCAGAACACTTAATCCCCCATAGATAATTCTTATAGCCATTGAGCTGTCCCTATACCTTCTCCCTTCACTCTGCCCCTGGAAACCACTAGTCTGCTTTCCATTTGTGCATTTTCCTGTTCTGGATATCTCTGACAAACGGAATTGTGTAACATGTGGCTCTTTATGTGAAACTTCTTCCTATTAGCATAGTGTTTTCAAAGCTCATTGACATTGGCCATGTATCCATACTTTATTTCCTTCCTTATGAGGAGGCGAGGTGCTGGGGAATGAACCTCAGCCTCAACCATGCCTGGCAAGGCTCTATCACTGAGCTATATTCTAAGCCCCTGGTTTATTCTCATTTTACTTTGAGGAAAGGTTTCACTAAGTTGCTCATGCTGGCCTCAAACTCGTGATTCTCTTACCTCAAACTCTCAGGAGAATGCTGCCATGTCTGTCAATACTAGATTCTTTCTAATTCTGATTAGAATTCCATTGTGTATTATACCATACTTACTTATCCTTTCACGAGTGGAAGTTGAGTGGCTTCCAGTATTGGGCTATCACAAATAATGTTGCTTTGAACTTTCATGTTCGGGTTTTAATATTAATACCTATTGTTTTCAGTAATCTTTTGTATCTACCTAGGAGTGAAATTTCTGAGTTATTAAGGTAATTCTATGTATAACTTATTCATTAACTGTCAATATTTTGTAGTGTATGTGCCATTTTACACTCCAAAAAACAATGC